AAAAGGATACTTACCATATACATCAAGCAGCTTATAGGCACCAAAAATCCAATATCATCCCTCTTCTGGTACAAAACATAAATTTTTCCCCAAAAATCCAATACACACACATACATAAAAAAGAACCATAACATCAATCAGAAAATAAAGATGCAAACTTGCAAGTGTTAGAAGCGTACACAATGCCCCTCGCCGCTATCCACGGGCGTCCCAAATCAGGCCTTCGCCGCCGACCTCGCCTCCTTCATCTGGAGCGGCTACAATGTCTTCCTCGCTCCCTACCTCCGAATACCTGTTCCGTTCGAGAATTCCCTCACCGTCCAGTTCATCCACATCCACATCCACAACGATTTCGATAGCATGGGTAGCTCCACATCCACATCCACATCCAGCCTCGATTGGAAATTGATCAAGAAGAGCTTTAGGCTTGGAACGAGTGGTCGGGGTCAACGTCGATGAAGAGGGTGTCGTCAGAGACGGTGACGGCATGGGAGGCAGCATCCTCAACGGAGAGAGGGTTCGCTTCGGTACCGGTGAGGTCGTCAATGGCGAGGCGCGAGGGTTCCGCGTTCATGGAGACCAGGTGGTCACGGTTTCGACTTTGCAGAGTTTCGACTTTGCGGGATTGGAGTTGGCGTTGAGGTGGCTGGTGCTCTGATGATGGATTAGGGGAAATGTTAGGGTTTTTGGAAGTGGAAGATGATGATGTGTTAAGAGTAATAACGTGGTTCAGTTGAATGTTTAATAAAAGAATAAAATTCCACGTCAGCGAGCCATGTCACCATACATTAACGCTGTTGAGTCTAATTTAACAGTAGGAATCCAATTGTTGCAATTTTTACAAAATTAGGACCCAATTGATAAATAAAAAAAAACAGCACAAAATTGAGATTCTCCTAAAAAAAATAAGGATACCTTGAATTATTAAACCTTATATTTATTAACGAATGTATCCGTCGATAATGTATATTAGATTTTATTTACTGACAAATATATTGATGTTCGATGAAATAAGTTCAAAATTTGGAGTTCCTCCCCCAAATCAGTTTCGAGAAATTCTTTCTCTTTCACTCTCATTCGCACTTTGTTATGGTTTGCCCTACCTCCATTGGTTTGTTCTTCCCCACCCTTTCTTGGTGTGCTCTTCCTGGACTTCGACTGCCCTTCACTCAGCTTTCACTATTTCTTGAACTCTTTCGTCGTTGACATTGTCATGGTGTTGAGGGATTGTCATCGAGGGTTGGCATTGCGGTTCTCTTCGTTGACGGAGTTTGGTCGAGGTTTCTTGGTGAGCTTTTTGACTTTGTCATTGTTTAGGGTTGTGGTGATTTGTTTTTGTTAAGGTTTGGTAATGTAATTTGTCAATTATTTTACAAGGTTTTGGGGTTTCGATTAGGGGCACATAACATGTAGAAGGTTCCAACATAGTGGGTTAAATCTTGTGAATGGTTACAAAAGTTCCATTGTTGAAGGGCTGGAATTGAAGTCAATTGTCCAAAATTTTATCATTGCATTGAGGTAGAGTTTGTCCTCTTTTTTGTGCCTTATTTCATTTTGTTTAGTAATTACGTTATGAGCTGGGACAAAATTATAATTGAGTTTCTTTTGTAAATTGTGCAACTTGAGCAATTTGAGCATGGTCTGGGACGTATGAATTCTCTGTTTTGATCATAGCCTTGGTAGAGAGTAAATTGTTCAATTTGTGCATGAAAACTTATATCCTCTATTCATGTGTCTTATGGTGTTTATATTTGGATATATCTTTGTTTTGAGGAACACTGATAGGGTCTTAAGGGTTTATGTCAGGAAAAAAGGGGAGAAAAACTGAACATAAAATAGAATGGAAGGGGAGTGGTTAGGCAGATTATTTTAGGAGTTAGCTAGGATTTAGCTATACAAGGGGCAATAAGTGTCTGTCAGGGGGACGTTTTGTATTGTTGTAGTTGAGACAGGATTTGCACATCCTATGAGGGAGGAAGTCAGGCTTCCTTGAACGTATTGTACATTGTTGTGTTTTTCTGAAATAAAGAAACAGTGTTCTTTGTTGTGTTTCGTTTTCTGGAGTTAAACCAGAATAGTGTTCAAGGTTTCTTGCTCTTAAGAAACCTAACAAACACTGACTTGGGTGACTTTTGTTTTTGTTTTCACTTGTCATTGCAGGTGGGAGGTTCCTCTTCCTCATGTATTGAGAGCAATTTATATGCACAGAGAGGGGACTGATCCGCGATTTATTAAATTGGAGCCGGTATTTAAATGCTCAATGTTGAGGCGCCGAGATTTACAAAGGTATCTTTTAGGGCTCTATTCAATAAAAACTCAAAATCCTAATGAAGAACCAAGTTATACTCACAACAATGATATTTATCTGAATTTCCTCTTTGTTGATTTAAGAATCAAAGTCACACAAAACCAAAGGTATAAAAAGTATACCTCAAAAGGAACACTCTTCTTTTCACACTGGAAAAATCCAATTAAAATAATTATCAAGATCACTGCCTCCCAAAACAAAAGAAGAGTTATTTATATGCTATATAACAACTAAAAACAAACTAATTTAGTTAACACAGTTTTCTGCACCAAAATTACAGTTGAACCCTTTTTCCTTTTTCTCCTGTAATAAACCTGCTGACACAGGTTTATTATACTCCTTGAAATTATTCCTAAAAGTACTCCCTCCCTCTGAAATGACAATGTCCTCAAGGTTGAATTCAGGGAACTGATTCTTAATGGAGGATCTGTCCTCCCAAGTAGCCTCTTATGGAAGTTAGCTTTGCCACTACATTAACACCTGAAGAGTCTCAGACTAAATTGATTCACTGTTTTGGTGCTAATTCTGTCATATTTAGAGCTTGTTTGTGACTAGAGTGGTAATCTCATGAATAATGAAATGCTACTGGATATTATCCATTTTGGAGACTGCTAAAAGCTGGAACTCAGCTGCAGAATATTATTGAATTTACATAATCATGTTTAATTTGTGTTTTTTGGTATCTTGAATGCTGTTTAATTTAGTCCATCATCTGATCTCACAGCATTCCACTCACAGTGGAGTGGTCAGTTACATCCCCGCATGACTATTTACTTGCTGGCTGCCATGATGGAACGGTACAACTCCTTAAATACTCAATTTATGTTCTTTTTATTCTCTAAATTGAGGTTTGCTTGCTCAAATAATTTGGAAATAGGTTTTTCTATGAAGTTTCACTATGGAAAAGGGAGGCATTTAATTTTTTTTCGTAGTATTTTTCCTCCAATAATCCTGTACTTACAATTTATGATGTTCTAGCACTGTTTTTTTTTTTTTTTTT